ACACCACATATAACATGTTCATGCAAAACACAATAACATGTTCAGACACCACATATAAACATGTTCATGACACAACCAGACACCACATATAACATGTTCATGACACAACCAGACACCACCATATAACATAAACAGGTTCATGCCACAACCAGACACCACATATAACATGTTCATGTCACAACCAGACACCACATATAACATGTTCATGCCACAACCAGACACCACATATAACATGTTCATGCCACAACCAGACACCACATATAACATGTTCATGCCACAATCAGACACCACATATAACATGTTCATGCCACAACCAGACACCACATATAACATGTTCATGCCACAACCAGACACCACATATAACATGTTCATGTCACAACCAGACACATGTCATACAAACATATAACATGTTCATGTCACAACCAGACATAACATGTTCATGTCACAACCAGACACCACATATAACATGTTCATGTCACAACCATGACACCACAATATAACATGTTAATGTTCACAACACCAGACACCACATATAACATGTTCATGCCACAATCAGACACCACATATAACATGTTCATGACATGACACACATATATACAGACACACAACCAGGAAACATATATAACATGTTCATGCCACAATCAGACACAACATATAAACATGTTCATGACACAACCAGACACCACATATAACATGTTCATGTCACAACCAGACACCACATATAACATGTTCATCAGACACCACATATAACATGTTCATGACACCAGACACCACATATAACATGTTCATGCCACAACCAGTTCATGACACACCACACCACATATAACATGTTCATGTCACAAGCAGACACCACATATAACAGTTCATGTCACAATCAGACACCACATATAACATGTTCATGCCACAACCAGACACCACATATAAACATGTTCATGTCACAACAACATATAAAATGACACCACATTATAACATGTTCATGTCACAACCAGACACCACATATAACATGTTCATGCCACAACCAGACACCACATATAACATGTTCATGACACAACCAGACACCACATATAACATGTTCATGTCACAACCAGACACCACATATAACATGTTCATGACACAACCAGACACCACATATAACATGTTCATGTCACAACCAGACACCACATATAACATGTTCATGTCACAATCAGACACCACATATAACATGTTCATGTCACAACCAGACACCACATATAACATGTTCATGCCACAACCAGACACCACATATAACATGTTCATGCCACAACCAGACACCACATATAACATGTTCATGCCACAATCAGACACCACATATAACATGTTCATGTCACAACCAGACATATCATATAACATGTTCATGCCACAAAAGGACACCTCATATCACCTGTTCATTGCACCGACATCGTATCCACTGTCGATCGTGCTTAGCCCGGCCGGCACACAAAAAGACAACAACAGAGGCGACCTGCTGGTATTCTGTCCTTCCATTTTAAAGGCCTCGCTTACTTCCTGATATTTCATTAAAACATTAACAATGTTTATATACATTTTTTAAACCATTTTTTTCATAGGATTTCGCTTATTCCAAGAAAAAAATTGTCTGGATAGGAATTAAAGTCAAAGATGAGATAATGTAGGTTTACGTTTAAATTGTAACAGCGTCGCCGTTATGTGCTAGTATTCTTAACAGGACTGTCAGTATTCGTCCATTCTTCTTCTTTTTCTTCTTCGCGTTCACCAGCTGTAAACTCTGGTGGAAAGTTCTGGTTGTTCATCCACTTCTGAATTGCAGTCCTGTTACAGAACCTGAGTTTTGCGTGTGCATCCGTTTTACAAATCTGACTCATTTGCACGCACACTGCTGGTTCCTTGCCTCTAATGCAGATTCACTTCGACTTCGAAAGAAGCTCCCAATAAGTCCAATCATACGACATGCTTTTGGGTAGGCAGTGGGTATATTCTGGTTTTCCCTATAACAGGGCCCCGCAACCCACACAGGGACTTCCATTCTAAACTACACAGTTCACCAAACTTGACCTATCTCAATAAGGTTTGTTTTGGGGTTTTCCATGGACGTCCTCGTTTCGTCAATACACTTATTTCTCATTTCAGTGTCTGTTTTGTGACTCTATGTTAGCCTCTCCTCAGCATATGTGCTATTTAAGGCCATCTTCTTTGTCTCTTAACTGTTGATACAAGTGGCTGTTCAAACATTTCCATTTTTTCGTAACCTTTCCTAAATGCATCCATTTTTAATGTTCTCCATTTTCCCAGGGACGTGTTTTCGTACGTTTCTAACATCCATCCCATGTCTATTTCTGTCCTTGCCATATAGTCGTTTTCTAATCATTGTTGTCCCCTCGTGGGATGCCATTTTTTGTTTGAAGCCCCACCCTGGCTTCTGCCAGAGCCCTGATATATCTTGGGGTATAGATATGGCCTAGCAGCTAAAGGGGTTTCTGGGTCCTCTTCACCGGTGATCCTGATTGGCATGGTGGCACTTTGTGTCACTGGGTGTTTATCGCCTGTGTGATGTCCTGGGGGGGGGGGGGGGGTACAATTACCTACCTACCTTCCTACCATGTCTATTGTGGTTCTTCAACTTTCACTGACATAAGTTGAAACTGAAATATGTGTGAAATATTGTGTACTGTGAGTGAAAATGATGAACTTTCCGCAGTCACTAAAAACGAGAACAGGACTTTTGAACTTTAACATACCATAGATATTTTTAGAATATGATAGACCCACACACAAAAAAGTGGTTTGGTGGCGGGTTGGAAAAGGGGGGGGGGGGGGGATAACTGGCATTCTAAGGATCTGCACATAGAGGGAGACTATCGATTGTGTCAACTAAGATACAGCTAGACCAGTGGTTCTCAACCTTCCTAACGCCGTGACCCTTTAATACTGTTCCTCATGATGTGGTGACAACCAATACACAAGCACACAAAATGTTTCCTTGCTTCATAACTTCGGCGAATATGTGTTCTCCGATGGTCTGGGACGACCTCTGTGAACGGGTCGTTCTCATACCCGCGGACTAGCAAAACTAAGTTTTAAAAAAAAAGTAAAGATCCCTTATTTCGCCTTAGGCGCATCGGCTATATGGGCCGAGCGTCCCATATTTTTACAGACCAATCGGCACTGGATGCACTAGCAAAACAGGGGACATTATTTTGCTCACCATTGGATGTGAAATTAAAAACAAAAACGAATGTAGACAGCGTTATATTTCTTATGTCTCCTGCGACAAACCTACAATGTTCAGCTAATGCGACATCTGCTGTCGATAAGAGGTTAGAAAATCTCCAATACGTGTCCATATCGTTGTTTCTTCTGCATCCGTGGCTAAGGCGTTGCCAGTCCAACTAGTAATTTTAGTGTAGCGCGATCGAAACACACTGCTGGCTGCGTGGATTTTTATCGTGGTATGGGGCGTCGCAGGTCGACCCAGCCTAAATGGGTACCAGGATGTATGTCATGGGGAAGTAAAGACAGCTGACCATACTACCCAGTTAGCGCCGAATAGTCTCTAAAAATATGGGTGCTCTTCCATTATGCCCGATGCGATTAAAGGCGTGAAAAAGGATCTTTACTTGTTTTTACTTACTTTACATTTCGTTATTTCTGATATACAAAGCACTGCAATAACATCCATTTGATTTCTCCGTCTGGTTTTAATTACTAATTTTCTGAGAAAGTCTTCTCACACACATAGGAAGTCGAAAAAAAAAAGACCAACAGTCTGACAGCTAACTTAAAGAATAATATTTTGTACGAATGATATTGAAAACTGTGACACGTAACCGATTTATAAACGTGTGCTCTAGTACTATGTCCCCTGTAAGTAAAAGTAACGAGAAATGATCTTTACTTTACTCATGTTGTTGTTGGTATCGATCCAGCGGCGCATGAACTTTCGCCTTCTGGCCCAGTGCCATGTAGTTGAATTGGCATGTTTTTACAAGCTGTTCTTTTCCTCCGTACAAGGTGTTCCACTTGTCAGGTCTCAGAGCGAGTAGCATTCTTCTAGTCTCGCTGAGTTGTGAGCACTTAAAGAGATGGTGATCAACAGTTTCTTATGGGTAATTGCATAGCTGATACTTTACTTTAACATTATAAAGTTAGATACATGTCTTTAACAGGACGTTGCAGAACCAGCTCCAACATTTTTTGTTTGGTTGTTGGCTGTTCTGTGGTTTTACCAGGCAAATTAAGGTTCAGTAGTTTGGCATTGCTAACTGGGCGGTCGGCGCCCCATACAATTGTGGAAATCAACGCAAAGCGGCCTGTAGTCAAATCGCCGTCAGATGAAATGCAACTGGATATTTATGAAAATAAGGCATAAATCACAAACTTTACATTCTCAAGGCAGTTTTTTACTGACCTGCGTGAAAAGTTTCAGATTCTGTTTGTCTGTAGCGGTGGGAAACTCCCAGTCGACATCCAGACCATCGAAGCTAAATGAGCGTAAGACAGCTATGGCGGAGTTGATAAAGGCAATTCTGTTCTCCTTAGTGAATACCATGTTTGAGAAGGGCCCATGCCCGAGTGTGGCGCCGCCCACAGAGAGGAATGTTTTCAGACTTGGATTTGTCTGTTTCAGGTCGTTGAGTTGCTTCCACCTGTTTTGTGAATGATATATAATATAAGTAGGATTGTTTAACATATTTGCCTCTGAGCTACAAATAGTGGTGTAATGGTTAGACGCTCAACTGTGCTTCATTAATATCCTACCCAAACAGGTGAAATCCACAGGTCACAGGACAGTCTAATATTTAATGGGGTGGTATATAGCCTGCATGCAGTCGTGGGACCTAGCCTACATGGAGTCATAGGACATAGGCTTCCCTCTTTCGTGGGACGTAGGTGGGTTGGGGTTTAGGGTCAATACTAGATGTTTTGGGGTCGTTAAAAGCATCAGAAAGCCAGGAAACCCAGTCTTACCACCCTCTAAAATGTTGGACTGTCCTGTGACGTCATCTTGGATACAATATTAACAAAGGACCCGCTCGCCTGCTAATTCAAGGGTCGGAGATTCACATCCCCATGGAGCTGGGTTTTTTTTTTTTTATATATATATACACACGCCTGACGGCGTAGAAAAGGGTTCTTCACGTTTACTCTGGATTCTATCTCTTTGTGGAGTCTGCCATTTTCTGTAAAGATGTTTCAAAGATTTTTGAATTCTCGTACTTGTTTCTATACAGTACTCTTAATATGAAATTTTACGTTGTTATGTTTTCTATCTATTCTCATTACATCGGTTTTCGCGGTGTTTATTCTCATGCCATACTTTGAGAAGGTTTGACGTTAGGAGTTAATGTGGTGTTGTAAATTCTGTTCTTAGTGGTGTATTAGACATTTTTCGCCTACAAAAAAGGCAATTCATTAATTTTGTCACTGTCTCTTGTGTAATTCTATCCATGTACGTAATGAAGAGCAATGAAGAGATGACACATTCATGTGTGACACCTGATGAGATGGGAACCAGTCATTCCTTCTTTTGTTATTACTGTTCACTTACTATTTTGATAAAGATGCGTGATGTTATCCAACCGTTGATCTTCAATACCACAATCTTCTAGAATTCTACATAGTTTGCATCTGTTGACTTCATCGGATGCATTCTGGTGATCCATAAATGTAAAGTGTTGACTTTTATCACATTGATTAGATTGTTCACGTATCTGCCGCAGGGTAGATTTTGCATCTGTTCAGTTTCATGTGCAGCATTGCTGGAACTGAACTGTCTCCTACTTAACTGGATTCTAGTGCTTGTTGAGCTCTTAATTCCAGTATTATTGCGAATCTCTTTTTATTATGGCTCAGGATGGAGATACCCCTGCATGTTTAACAGTCTCGTGTGTCTCCTTTATGATTCCAAATAGGGACAACGATTGCTCTCTGCAAGTCAGATGGGACCTTGCATATATTTATATAGTTTTTACACGAAGTTCATATAAACATATCAATATCATTAGTACATAAAACACTTGCATACCTCAATTATTATTACACGAAAAATGCATGTCATTGTTTTACGAACTGCTAAAAAATTGTCGCCACACACACACACACACACACACACACACACACACACACACACACATATATATATATATATATATATATATATATATATATATATATATATATATATATACAATTGACACTCTAATGCTAAGTTTTTGTGTGTGGTTATTTAGGTTTTTTTAGACACTACGTTAAATAGTTTGCCATTCCTACCTGAAAAGTCAGCTCTCGGTACTACTGTCGAAACCAACGCAATACGGTCTGCTGCCAAACACTAAGTGCACACATGTATTTACTATTGATACACTTAGCACTGACATTTCTGCATCATCATTACATAAAGCACTTATCTATATTATTGTTGCACGGCGTTAATACTAAAATATGAGCTGTCCCCACTGCCCGTCTCTGCCACCTTTAAAAAAAAAAAAGAATACGATGCAAAGCAGGAAGATCATGAGCTTAACGGTTTAAGGCCGCTAGGTTGGTGCGGTCGTTCCGAACTGTGCCGGTTAGATATTTTATGTTTGCTTCTGACCGATAAAACCTCCACCATCTTACAGAGGATTCCAATCCCGATATCCCACACGAGGCCAGTATCATACCGCTGGGCCAGCCGCCACACGGCATTATTAGCCATGTTTATTATTCGAGATATTGGACCTTCCTTTGATTCTCTAGCACTGCTCTCGTCTTCTTCTGGATTCTGATCTTCCTCCAGAACTTGAGTTTTGAGTGTACATCTGTTTTACAGAACTCACTTATTTGCATGCAGACTGTTAGTGCATCTCCTCTCATCCGTCTTTAAAAATCCCCCCCCCCCAAAAAAAAAGTCGCCTTTTACAACATGCATGTTGGGGGGGGGGGGGAAGCTAGGCGGGGCAGTGGGTCTACTGTTTGTAACCCCCAAACTGGGTCCCTGAACCCACACGATGAAGATGCTTGACCGTCTGGAATTTCGACAGATGAGATCATGGTTATCAGAAATGATTGGCATTACACAAGACAGAAAGGTGTGCGGAGAACATGATTACCAACACCACACGTCATGAACTATAAGAAGACGAAAACATATACTGACCCACCAACACTGGACTACACGTTACTTCGTCACCGTGTTATGTAACCGTTTTTTTTTTTTTGTGTGGCCCAGTATAACTCTAACATGGCTATTCAGGAGCCCCTGTGGTGTAGCGGCTAGAAGCTATCCGCGGCCTCGAAGGTTGAAGGTTCAAATCTGCACCAAGCAGTAATTTTTGTTTTTCTAAAAATGACTTTGTTTCTCAAGCTGACTTAGCCTAAAATGTGTGCGAGATAAAGTTCTGGGTAGTAAAGGCGGCCGGCGTAATGCTGACCACGTCACCAAAAGTGTCGATTGGTCTATAAAATATAGGTCTATCTCTTACTGTTACCTTTAAAACGGCTATAAAGTTGAAAGGTATTTGCAGGATTTGTACCCGTTTAATTCTCGTCCTTGAGAGGACAATCCTACAATATGCAATCCTGGAGGGGATACACTTTGAAAAATCAAATCATTGTTATCCCCGTGTGGGTTCTGGGGTCCTGTTACAGGGAAAACAAGAATAGACCCACTGCAAAAGCATGTCGTAAGAGTCGACTAATTCTGAGCTTCCTGCAAAGTCGGAGTGCATCTGCCTGAGAGGCTAGGAACCAGCAGTCTGCATACAAATGAGTCAGATCTGTAAAACGGATGCACACGCAACACTCAGGTTCTGGAACTTGACTGCAGTCCAGAAGTGGACAAACAACCAGAACTTTCCGACAAGTTTTACAGCTGGTGAACCCGAAAAAGAAGAAGAAGAAATCGTTGTTACAGGAAGAACCTACATTTCTTTGTCATTGTACTCGTATTCTGCAATATTGTTCCCGTCCAGTTTAGCAAAGGCGAAGTTGATGTGGGTGCATAGAGTTGGATCAATTTTGGACACGGTGAAACTCGCTGAGCCACTTCTGTACTGGGCCCAGTTCGTGTAGAAACAAATCACGTTTCGACTGCAACTGGAGCCTAGATGAAACATTTCAAAAATATGCTTATGTTGTTAACAATGAGCATTTGCTGTGTGTTCTGAACATATTTCTCCTTAGACACGAGAACGATAAAATATTTTATTTTTACATGTGTGGTAAAATCCTTAGCAGGTGACATATCTTGGTATTGTTTATGAAGTAATTATTCAATTCTTTTTTTTTTTAACTAAAAAAAAAAATTAAAACAAAAAAACCACTGACTTTCTACTACTAATTTTGCTTGTGGTTCTGCTTCTACTGTCACTATTGCAACTATTAATAATCATACAATTACTACCATCACTAGTACTATTACTACTACTAATTATATTTATAATACAAATTTTATTATTATTACTACCACCTTCGTTTTCTTCTTCTTCTTCTTCTTCTTCTTCTTCTTCTTCTTCTTCTTCTTCTTCTTCTTCTTCTTCTTCTTCTTCTTCTTCTTCTTCTTCTTCTTCTTCTTCTTCTTCTTCTTTCTTCTTCTTCTTCTTCTTCTTCTTCTTCTTCTTCTTCTTCTTCTTCTTCTTCTTCTTCTTCTTCTTCTTCTTCTTCTTCTTCTTCTTCTTCTACTTCTCCTCCTTCTTCTTCTTCTTCTCCTCCTCCTCCTTCTTTTTCTTCTTCTTCTTCTTCTTCTTCTTCTTCTTCTTCTTCTTCTTCTTCTTCTTCTTCTTCTTCTTCTTCTTCTTCTTCTTCTTCTTCTTCTTCTTCTTCTTCTTCTTCTTCTCTTCTTCTTATCCTCCTCCTCCTCCCTCCTTCTTCTTCTTCTTCTTCTTCTTCTTCTTCTCTTCTTCTTCTTCTTCTTCTTCTTCTTCTTCTTCTTCTTCTTCTTCTTCTTCTTCTTCTTCTTCTTCTTCTTCTTCTTCTTCTTCTTTTTCTTCTTCTTCTTCTTCTTCTTCTTCTTCTTCTTCTTCTTCTTCTTCTTCTTCTTCTTCTTCTTCTCCTCCTCCTCCTTCTTTTTCTTTTTCTTCTTCTTCTTCTTCTTCTTCTTCTTCTTCTTCTTCTTCTTCTTCTTCTTCTTCTTCTTCTTCTTCTTCTTCAGCGTTGCCAGCTGTAAGTTAAAACTTTTTGAACCTTTGTCACAATTCCCTCTATGTGACCCTTGAAAGACAGATTTATGTCAAAGGTGATTCCCAGGTACCGCAGTCTGCTGTCTTTTTTGATATCCCCACGACTGTTTTAAGGCTTGGAACAGCTCTGACAATCCTGTTGTACAAAGAATACTACTGGATGGTTGCCTTTTCTGGGTTAATTACAGCACTCATCTCTATTCAACAGTTGATCACCTTATTTGCTGTCGCCTTTAACTCTTCAACTACTTGATTCTGATCTATCTTTTTCCTATGTACAAGAAGATCATCTGCGAATATCAATATTGGCTCTACGGTACGGCGGCTCCCTTCGCAAGTCATACCATTTTAGGTATTCATACTATCTTACCAAAACATACCATCTTAACAAACATCATCTTACTAGATCGAATTTTGTTACAAGTCACACCATGTTATCAAGTTATACCATCTAACAAAATCATAAATCTCACCAAGCCATTCCATCTTACAAAAACATACTTTAAAAAAAAAATATTTCTTTCATTTTGCAAAATCAAATAATCATTTAAAATCTTACAGTCGCATAAATTTTTTAGGATCCTACCAAATCACACAGTTACAGAATTGCATACTATCTTACCGCAAAACAAGAGGAGACAAGCAGCTGCAAGAACACAGGAGACTTCCATGATAATCAGAGTTTAGGAACTTGATACCCAGAAGTTCCCGATATTCTTTGATGGCTCAGTGTGATTTTGTTTCGTTGCTTCCCGGTGTGACTAAATCTGGTGAAATAGATAAATAATAATATCATTACAAATGAAAGGATGCCGTCGGCGAAGGTGTTGCAGAACACCAAGAGCCGAAACCTGCAGAGAGACACACACGTCTAGAAAGGCAAATGATGATAATGACGATGACAATGATGGTAATGATGAAGATGACGATGATGATGATGAAAAAAATGATGATAAATAATTTTTTTTTTAATGTGTTCATATGTCTATTCAAAACTCAGATAATGGGACAGGTAGACAGACAGGCAGGCGTCTAGCTACCAAGGTCTCCTGCGTTTTTACGAGTTTGTCAATTTCACCAAGATGTTTGGTTTCGATTTATGCGCACATTGATCGAAATGATTCGTAATTCACTTTGACTATGGGGTCAATCAAGTCCTAAGAGTTGAGTTGAACTGAGTAGAGAATTGACATCACAGCACTAGGGACGTTCCCAAACGTGTCCCGTATTCATCTTCAGCAGCCAACACAGAGCTCTAATACTAATTGTACCAGTCTTAATTTTGTGATATTTCCGTTTTACCTTTTCTTTGAATGAAGTTAGCCGGCGAGACCCTCTGGTCACACCCAGGTGCCTCATTCTCTCCAGGCCATAATAATCTCGTTTCGCATTTGACTCCGCTGCTTTTTCCCAAAGGTTCCTGACTACATCTGCCATGTCATGTATCAGTTCACCACCCGGTGGTGCAGATCCAGCCAACCAGTCTCTCTGTTCACTCCCCACAACGCCAACAAGGCCTGAAGAAAAAATCCAAAGTATTTTATGCTAGGCTGTCCTGCACTAAAGATTTTCCATTAACTTTTTCTACGAACCCTCAGGCTCTTCTCTTGCCTCTCAACACCAAACCATCTGTATGCATAATCAGATCATCTGGGAGTGAATTGTAGTGAATCAACTGTTGGACTTCCACCTTCTTAGCTTTCATTAAGATACTAGATCAAGTGCCGCTATCACCGTTTCCTGTGTTCTGGAAACCTTCAAAAAGTGTCAAAGGCAAAAATGGCTGCATTTGACCATGTTTGATCCCTGTTCGGTAACTTCCCAAAAATTCTTGTAGCTTACCCGTCACTATCTTCTCCAACACTTTACCAAAGGTGTTTCGTAGGTTTATGATCCTCAAACCGTTAAGTGTTAAATGATTCTTGCCAGGCTTAGAAAGTGGAATCAAGTAGCACAGCATCCACTCTTATGGGACTGAAGTCGTCCTAATGCTCTGGCTGAAACAAGCAGTCACCTCCACGAGGTATGCATCGCTCATCTCTTTAATGTGGGAGTATCTGACCGCGTCAGGCCCGGGTACAGTCTCTTTCACCATTTTCAGAACAAGTTTTACATCTTGCACCTGTATGATGTCTTTATAATGATCGTTTCTTATAGTTATCTCCAGCATTGTGGTCTGTCTGTGAAATAAACCCTTTCAGGAAAGCCTCCATCTTCTGTTTGTCTGTGGTTAACAGTAATAACAGCATATCGTCATCACTATGAATTGTTCCCACCACGCTCGGCCGATCTTTCTTGTCTATGTAACTTTCCCAATGTCTTATCGCTCCCAGTCTCAGTAATAAAATATTTCCATTTTGCTTTTTTGACTTCCGCTACACAAAGCCTGAAAACGTTTATCCAATCTTTCAAGTCTCTTTACATGCAATTCTTCCTGTGAGCTTAGGGCTGTCTGTCGAACTTTCTTTAAACGCTTTACTGTAGCTCTCTTTAACTCACATGCCTGTTCCACCTCTGATGTCCATCATGGAGGCTGTACAAAAGTAGATCTGCCGGTCCTCTTACATGCCCTCTGTCAGAGGCGTCCAAGAAGGGGGTTTGTCCGCTCATACTTGAAAGACCTTGCACTGTTGAAGCTTTGTCTTTCCTGGATTTTGAGATTAATACCGTACCGAACACTGTAGACGGTTACTTCTACGATCGCCCAGAGCCGTCTGTTTGGTGTCCAATACTGCTGACTGGGTAACCAAAGTCAGGTCAGTAGCCGTGTCTGCATCGCTAGGCCTCTTTGCCATTCTAGTCGCCCTCCCATCATTTAAACAAAGTCTGAATCGACCGTGGCGTCAACAACGGCAACTCCCTCTCTGTTTACCCAATCTGTCCCACTCATTGTTTCGTGCTTCGAAATCCCCACAAACAAGAAGTCCGTTGCCAGGGATCCCCTCCAGGTCTTTCAGCCTGTCCCACTGTTGCTTTGTAACCAATGAGCCCACGGCAGCATATACATCTATTATGTTCCAACGTAGGCCGCCAATTTCCATCTGTATTCCCTGCACCTCTATAGCTTCATGACTCAGGTCAAGCATCACATGTTTCAATCCCACCTTAAATCGCAGACATTGTCCATGTCTCCCATGTCCAGCAGGGTTTACATAACTGACATATCCAGAGCAATGATATTTGTTTGCACTCAGCTCCTGAAGCAGGATTACATCAAAATCGTATATCAACCTCTCTAGTGTGAGCCCTTTCTGTCTGGCACTGAGAAAGTTCCAAAAGCACACTCTTACCTTGTTGAACCCCAGCCGTTCTGTTTTTCACCTAAATCTCCTGGCTCCTGTCCTTCTATTTCTCTGTTTTCTTCTCTCACCATTTCCTTGTTTTCTCCTCTCCACTCTCTTCGTTGCGCGCTGAAGATGACGTCAAGCGTGAAGCACGTGCTCCGTAACTCAATTCTTATAAAAATTAAAAATCCTTACGATATAGTTATTATGGTTACGCTAGTAGAGCCTGTTTGCTAGGGAAGAGACAAGGATGTCCTTATGAAGTCCATACGCCTGGCGCCGCCCCTCCCGCTGACCAGACGTCCACGTTCACGACTGCCTATCCCACAGCCATTCAGCCTCTCAGCACGTAGATTCACTCTAGGTTTGGTTTTTTTAATCGAGGTTGTCTCCTCTAACTCCATTGTGTTTTGTCCCAGGACCGTGATGTCTTGGTTAATAGAGTCACCTCGTAAAGGATGTGCCTTTTCGGTCACGCAAAGCAGTCGTGACTGTAAAAAGGTTTACCAAGTTAAAGGACTTATCACCTGAGTGCGCCCGTTTCACCTATAAGGCTAGACCCACAGACTCACAAGGCGGAACATCTGGTGTGCTTCACTGCTCGAGAGTCTTAGCCACTACAGGCCTGAGTCTCCATGACCTTCGACCCTAGTCAGTCTAAAGAAGTCCCAGGCAGTTAGTTCTTTGGATTTTATTTTCCAACTCATGCTTGTGTGACGGAAAACGAGCAGACAGAGAGACTCGCCCGTTCTGAACCACTTGGTAATGTATTGATGTATGACAAGCTAGACGTTTTAAGGGCCTTTTGGGGGCGAGTGAACAGTATGGAGGCACAAATAGATCATTATGGTCTGAGGAAAATGGCGCTGTGAGGAGTTATCCGGGAGTCAGGCCAATGTTCACCACTCAAGTGAAAGGCGAGACGGATGTACAATCAGACAGTTACTGGTACCATCAGAATTGTAACTCTTCGTTTGCTGCTGAAGATGAGGACAGAGCGTTTTTATGGGAGTGTCCCGAGTGTTATGCTGTAGATTTTTAATTCCACATTCAACAAAATCCAGTCCAAAGAAATTATAACATCCTGCCAAAAAAGTGCATAAAGCATGAACTTCACAGCTCCAATGACATTCCCCAGGTATCTTGGTCCAAACTTATTAGAGATCTCTCATCACTACATACGGGTCTGCCCGTCACTACTCCGATCATGTGCTAGTGCAAATCACACAACATGCCCTTCACTGTGCCACAAAAATTCTAATGGAAAACTTTCCTGTCGCAGCATAATCTTGAAGCTTCCACACCATCATCATCATCATTGTCCCATTATGCCATTATATGTCACATAGGCCCGTCTCTCTAGCGTAGTTGGCTAAACCGAATTGCGCGGTGAGCGGGTGACGAACTCCTTGTGGTCCGGGTTCACTCCCGGGGGTAGGCAGAACAGCCACATTTTCTCCCAAATTTAAGGTATTTACAATGGAATCAAGGCCGAAAGATTGCGATATCCATAATACCGAGACTAAAGGTTAACAACTCATGGCTTCTGGTTACTAAAACAAACAAACAAACAAGTCACATAGGGTTCACTATCGACTCCTCCATTCTGTTCTACCCTGTGTAGTCAGTTCAATGTCTTAGATGAAATCCTGTCATGCACCTCTGGTACATAAGTTCTTTTATCAACGTTTGTTTTATAGGAGTTTTTTTAAATCCCTTTTTTTCACATTTTAGTGTCTGTTTGGTAGTTTTCTGCTCGTTTCTTCTTATTGTGTGTCCAATATAACACCATCCTTTCTGTCTTATAAATGTTGATTTAGTGGCTGCCCAGACATTTCTCTTATTTCTTCTTCTTTTTCTTCTTTTTCCTTACGTCCTCTTTTACCGCTTCGGTTGTCGAGGGAGATTTGAGAACCTGCTTTGTACTCTTCTGGCTGCTTCAACCATAAGCCTTCACCCTTTTTAAATTCATCCATTTATGATTATTTTCCTCAGACATTTGTTTTCGACTGCAGTTACCTTTCTTTCATGTCTCTCAGTAGTTCTCCAACTGTCAGTTAAAGCTGAAAATGACATTAGAGCTGAAAAGACGTCACTTAGTTTTAAAACTTGACAGTTTAGAGTTCCTTATTGTGTTCAAGCTATTAAAAGCTGCTACTGCCCTGCTAATGAGTCTCATAATTTCTTTCGCTATCAGAATTACTACCTAAATAAAAATCTACTCAAAGTATTTCAGGATCCTCGCCGGTGCTACAGAGCCTGTGCACTGTGTTGAGCTTCTTCGGCCTCAGATTTGAGTTAGAAGAAGAACGGGGCATTTATAGGTTACTAACCGTGTGTCATGATGTTGATCCGTTGTTCAAAACCTCACACATACCTACATTAGT